CCATGCATAATCTTGTAAACCTCAATCATGTCACCCCTCAGTTGTCTTTCTCCAAGCTAAAGAGCCCTAAGCGCTTTAACCTTTCCTCATAGGGAAGGACTTGTCCTTTTATCCCATGATTTTTGAGCTTGCTTAGGAGCCTTTGATGAGGAACTTTATCAAAAGCTTTCTGGAAGTCAAGGTAAATAATATCTATTGGATCCCCCTTGTCCACATGTTTGTTCACCCCCTCAAAGAACACTAACAGGTTAGTGAGACAAGATCTTCCCTTACAGAAACCGTGCTGAGTCTGCCTCAATAGGTTTTGTTCATCTATGTGCCTACTAATTCTTTCCTTAATAATGGTTTCCACCAATTTACCCGGTATCGACGTCAGACTGACTGGCCTGTAATTTCCCGGATCTCCTCTGGAACCCTTTTTAAAGATGGGAGTGACATTAGCTACCTTCCAGTCCTCAGGAATGGAGGCTGATTTTAAGGAGAGATTACATATTTTTGTCAGGAGATCCACAAGTTCACATTTGAGTTCTTTCAGAACTCTCGGATGTATGCCATCTGGGCCTGGTGATTTATCAGTTTTTAAGTTGTCTATCAGTTTTAGGACCTCCTCTCTCGTCACCTCAATCTGACTCAGGTCTTTCAACACCCCTCCTGAAATCAGTGGTTCTGGAGTGGGCAAGCACTTCTCATCTTCCACAGTGAAGAGACAGGCAAAAAATGCATTTAGCTTCTCAGCCATTTCCCTATCATCCTTCAGTACTCCTTTTTCCCCTTGGTCATCCAAGGGCCCCACTGCCTCCCTGGCTGGTTTCCTGCTTCTAATGTATTTGAACAAAGTTTTATTGTTGGTTTTTACGTTTTTTGCTATATGCTCCTCATATTCCCTTTTTGCCTGCCTGACCACAGACTTGCATTTTATTTGCCATAGCCTGTGTTCCGTTTTATCAGCCTCACCGTGACTAGCTTTCCACTGCTTAAAGGAATCCTTTTTACCTTTTACAGCTTCCCTTACTTTGTTTTTGTTAACCATGCAGGCTTTTTCCTATACCTGTTTGTGCCTTTCCTAACCTGCGGAATATTTTTTTTTTTGAGCTTCTGGGATCGTAGTTTTAAATAGTTTCCAAGCTTCCCCAATGGTTTTGACCCTTTCTACTTTTCCTTTCAGTTTCCTCCCCACATGTCCCCTCATATCAGAGAATTTACCCCTTTTAAAGTTAAAAGTGGTTGTGTGAGTCTTTTTGGCCAATTCCCTATTTATACAAATGTTGAACTCAACAACATTATGATCACTGTTCCCAAGCGGTGCAATCACTTTTACATCTCTCACCAGGTCTTGAGTGTTACTTAGGACCAAATCAAGGATCTCCTCTCCCCTGGCAGGACATCCCAGTTCCTGGGTCAACCCCCCACCTACCCAGTAGCACCTCTTTTTCCAGGATTAAGTTTCAGTTTGTTAGCCCTCATCCAACGCAAAACTGCCTCCTGGCACCTGTTCAGTGTCTCTCCAACCTCCCTGGTATCTGCTGGAAGCATGAGATAGAACTGAGTGTTATCTGCATATTGGTGGCAACTCAGCCCAAGTCTCTAGATGAGCTTTCCCTGCAGTTTTACATAGATAGTAAAAAGCACTGGGGAACACTGTAATCCAGAAGTCAAGGGGGAAAGCAGCTCTCCCACAGCACCACACTCTGAAACCAACTTTGGAGGTACGACCAAAGCCACCCTGAACAGTGCCTCCCATTCCCAACCCCAAAAGGTGGTCCAGAGGGATACCATGATCAATGATATCAAAAGCCACTAAGAGGTCCAGGAGGATTAACAGGATCACATTCCCTTTGTCCAGTATCTCAGTGCAGGTCATCCACCAAGACAACAAGGCCATTTCAGTCCCACGACTGGAACTAGACTGTAACAGATCAAAGCAAACTGCTTCATTCAGAAATCCCTGAAATTGTCCAGCCACCATTTGTTTAATATTTATTTATTTATTCGATTTGCTATCCTGCCCTAACCCCTAAGGGTCTCTGGGCAGCTTACAGAGGGTGGTAATCACATTTACAGAATCTAACCAAGGGCCACAGACATACAGGGGTGGTGACTACCCTACCAGGCACCCTTTTTGTGGCAGATCTTCGGTTGTTGTTCTTGTGGGCGGTAGTTGGTGGCGTCCTTCTGGTGCTGGTCTTTGGAGTTCCCTTCTTCCGGCTGTAGTGATTCAATTTCCGGGCCAGGATCACTCGCACTTCCGCGCCAGTTGGTCCGGCCTCCTTCGCTCGCTCTCTCCTTGCCTCGCCAGCCACCATTTTTCTCTGTTGCTGTCGCCACTGCTTCACAGGTACCCATTAGTCTATTCGCCCTTTAACGGGCTTTCGAGTCGCTGGGTGGGCGGGAGCTGGGACATAGGGCCGGGCGCTCACCCCGGCCGCGGTGGGGCTCGAACAGCCGAAGCTGTTCGGCCAGATGTACATGCAGGCATCTCTTACCGCCTGCACCACCACTCTGATACTATAATAATTCTCCCCAACTTCCCTTTTTTCTCTCTTGGCTGAGCAGTCCCCTTTTCTTCTTCTTTGTTTTGCTGTCTGTCCCACTCAGTTATTTAGATGTATATAGATATAAAATGACTTGGCCTAGGGAACTGAGGAACTGAAAAATCCTTCATTTTTATATGTCAGATTATAGCACAAGAAAGGCTGATAGTTATTCAAAACAAACTGCTTTATTTCACTTTTGAGAGGAAATGGTCAGGTAGGTATCTGGTTTGGAGCCTGGCAGGTGAACAGGCAACAGGAATGAAGTAACTTTGTATAATTGTAAACAATACATAACTTGTCACAATAAAGTAGCTCTCTGATTCTATAGACAGGTCTTAAAGACTATGGAGAGAGAGTATAAAAACATAAGAGCCCCGCTGGATCAGACCAATAATCCATCTAGTCCAGCATCCTGTCTCACACAGTGGCCAATGAAAAAAGAAAAAAGAACTGTGACAATTTATCGCTTGGTACTATATTCATAAATCATAATATACAATAACAGAAAATAAGTAATATATATAGTGAATGTAGACAGTGGTCTCCAGAATGGTGTGCCGTTTCGACAATGATCTTCTTCTGAACAAGGATGTGTGCATAAACTCTTTCAACAATTCATTTCTCTTGGTGACGTATTGAAAATATACTGTTGATTAACTTCATCATAAAGCTATGCTTACAGGTATAAGCATAGCTTTATGATGAAGTGAATCAACAGTATATACATTCACTATATATATTACTTATTTTCTGTTATTGTATATTATGATTTATGAATATAGTACCAAGCGCTAAATTGTCACAGTTCTTTTTTCATTGGTCTTATTACTGTGCCCATTCTTGTAACTATTCACACAGTGGCCAACCATTTTCTCTGGATGGCCAATAACAGGGCACAGAGGCCAAGGCCTTCCCCAGTGTTGCCTCCTGGCTCTGGAATTCAGTGGATTAATGCCTCTGAATGTGACAGTTCCCCTCAGTCACCATGGCTAGTAGTCATTGATAGACTTATCCTCCATGAATCTATCTAATCTCCTTTTAAAGCTGTTTATTTCTGTGGCCATCACTATGTCCTCTGGCAGCCAATCCTACCTTTTAATCATTCTCTGTGTAAAGTAGTATTTCCTTTTGTCTGCCTTGAACCTACTGTCCATCAGTTTCATTGGATGCCCTCGAGTTCTAGTATTTGGTAGAGGGAGAAAAAGTTATCTTTGTCAACTCTCTCCACCTCATGCATAATCTTATAACCTTCTGTGATGTCCCCCCTCCCCCAGTCATCTCTTGTCTTCTTAAATAAACAGGCATAAACCTCTTTGTTTTGAAATTATTTAACTCTGTGTAGGCAGGAACATACACACAAGTTCCAGTTTTCCTTCTTAAACACCTGATAGGGAGCACCCCCTTTTACAAAGAGCTATTTTCTCAGGGCAGGACTACTGGTCCCAATTCCCTGATTCAGGATCCTCTCTCAGTCCTTGACTCTACTTAACTGAACTTAATGGTTCTGACTGTCACTCTCAACCGCCATTCAACTGTAGAATTCCATTCGAATCCCCTGTCACACAAGGTTCTCAGACTGGGTTAACACATTAACCACTGTTCATTACAGGTACGGTACATTTGAGACTGAACAGTAGTTATTCAGCTCTCCTGGGTCCAGATGCAATGTTCCCGCTAATTCCCCCCCCCCAGTGGAGCAGTTCATATCATGAGCAGAATATAACTGCAGTATTCTTAAAATGAGCAATGGGCAGTGCAAGACCCCACACAGCTCCAAATTGCTGCTGAGCAGGGCTTCCTGTGTTAATGAACGGCCGCTCACACACACAACTTAGAGAGAACACTGGGTTTTTTTAGGAGTTTACGCACCACTGCCTGCTTCAAGACCGGGCTGACCACCCCTTCCATTTACTGTCTCCCACCCCTAGTTGGGAGATTTAAGCAACTGGGAGTGGCAAGGGTTGTTGTACAAAAGCAGGTGATATGTCTCAGTCTTCAAGGAATCCTGTTCACATCCTCAGACTGGACAAGCCAAGAGATACCCCACACAACAGGACAAGCTGAATAATCACTGACTATTCAACATCTATTATTGAACTTGTTGGCATTTTTTTTGTGGATAGCTAGCAAATTAATGTTCAGTATATCAGAGGCTCTTTCAGAGAAAATACAGTCTTGATTTCCAAAAACACTTTCTTAAAATTAAATCTCTGTGAACTCGTTTGCAGATTTCAGTGCAGTTAAATTTGATTGCTTGGTTTTATGCTGTTTTTTAAAAAAGATGTACAGGTTTTTACGACACTAACTTTGTTGTGACTGCTGCTGACCTTTCTCTTCAGTATGGGCATTCACTCTTCAAGAAAAGACAATTAAAATGTGTGACATATTAGACTACAAGACATCTTGCCCTGGGAAACTCATATCCTTCCCCCCCCCCTCTCTTTCCTCATTGGTGTTTTACTGCAGATTTGGCAGATTGCAAACTGATGACCTTCCCCATTGCCCTTTACAAAGTCATGAGGCATGTCACTGAAGGGATACATCTCATCACTCTGGCCAATAATGAACTGAAGTCTGTGACGAGTAAATTCATCACCACCTTTAACCAGCTTAGAGGTAGGTTTTGCCTTCTCTGAATACAGTGGCGGAAGCGAGGAGATGGGACAGCTCAGATTCCTTTCACCTCTTCAGAGAAATAAGGATTTGATCATGTCTCATGGTTCAGTCTTCTTTTAACCTCTTCACCTCGTTTGAGGCTGTGCACATATATCAGACTACATGCCCATAGTAAATGGCCGTTACCAAAACAAAGTTGACTTAAAAACCCTGAGAAATCATTATCAAACAATAAAAACCTCATTTTTTTTCCAAACACTGTTACACACTTGGTGAAGCAGATAAGTTTTAAGTGCGGTCTAAATCTAAGCAATGCATACATGAAGCTGCTTTATACTGAACTAGACCATTGGGCCATCATGTCAGTATTGTGCACTCAGACTGGCAGTGGCTCCCCAGGTCTTTTCACATCACTAAATGCCACACCCTTTTAATTGGAGGTGTCAGGGGTTGAACTGGGGACTTTCTGCATGCCAAGCAGATGCTCTACCATGAGCCTCAGCCATGCACACATTTCTGATTTGGGGGTTTAGCTATCTTGTAGTGCTGCTGACTTGGTTGTAGTCTTAGACCTGAGAGGGAATTTGTGTTGCCTTTTGCGGTGGCTCAAGTGGTTAAGACGCTGAACTGCAGGCTGTGGAAGGTCAGTAGTTCAGCAGTTCGAGACCCGAGTGTGCCGCATGACGGAGTGAGCTCCCGTCTCTAGTTCCAGCTCCTGCCAACCTAGCAGTTCGAAAGCAAGAAATTGCAAGTAGATAAATAGGTACCACTTCGGTGGGAAGGTAACAGTGTTCTGTGTGCCTTGGTGTTTAGTCATGCTGGCCACATGACCATTGAAACGTCTTCGGACAGCGCTGGCTCTTCGGCTTTGAAACGGAGATGAGCACCACAACCCTAGAGTCGGATTTGACTGGCTTTCGAGCAAGGGAACCTTTACCTTTTGTCTCATACATTATTCTGCAATACAGGGAGTTTTTCTCTTCAAAAGAACCTGACATCCCACTGCATTCAGTCCTGTTTCACTTAAGTTTCTTTATCCAGGTAAATGTCCACAAATGCCTCAAAGGCTGCATTTAAGGTAAAAATGCTTCATATAGTGACACTGAACATGCTTCTGTTAGCAATAACTCAAGAGGGAAAAAAAAGAGTATTGACTTACAGAGTTTCAGTCCACTCCTGACTTGGGAAAGTAATGTTGGAATGGAATTAATAGAGCAGAGAGGTAGAATGAATATTGTATCCCCAGCCAACATGCAGAGTTAATTTCCTCCTGAACTTTGAAGTTCCAAGGACTGACATTAATTTTGTAGTCTGATCAGGTGTTAATAAGAGGTGATAGAAATGGGGATGGTTCTAAGAATAAAGGGAATATTGAAGCATTAATATAGAAATCTCATTCCTGGTCAGTGGATGACAATCAAACTGTCAGTTCTAAATAAAAGAAACATTAGCGAAAAATGATGCATATAGATAGTGGAAGTAATGCAACTGCAGCTGCTGATGCAGTTAACAGGTGAGCAGCAAATCCCCCCCCCCCCCGCACACCAGCTGGTTACTGGATCCAAGCAGCCAAAGGGGTGTGTGTGTGATTGAAAAGCTGACCTATTTGGAGGTTTGAAATCAGTGGAGAGAGAAGAACTGATTATAGCCAGAAATGTATAAAAGTTGTCATGAGAAAGTCTGAAGTTGTGTTGGAGGCGGGAGAAACTTGTTTCTGACAGCTAGAGCTGGCTAAATGATCAAAAGCTTCAGGAGTCTGTAATTTTGAGAGGAGAGCAGCCCTGCAGGATGTAGTGCTCAGTCATTTTGCTATCGGCCGTTTTACTGCTCACAATTGGCCCTCCCTGGCTGCTCCACCCCCCAAGGATTCTGGGTACATTTTTACCACTACAAAGGTTCCTTGTTTTTTCCATCTTTCCCTCAAGTGCAGCTGAGCCTGGTGGACTAGCTGCTGATAGGGACAGTTCAGGGAGGGAGGGAGGGAGGCAAAGGGCAATCTGTCCCAGGCCAACTCACAGTGAAGGCCCACACTGTCTAAAATCTAAACCTGGGTAGTATAAGTAAAATCTAAACCTGGGTAGTATAAGGTAAAGGTAAAATCTAAACCTGGGTAGTCCCAGCTGACAGATCGGAACTTGAAATCAGGGTGATGTTTTGTGGGCAGAAGGATTTCTGCTTATGGAGTGTGGCTGTCTTACCTCTCCATGCCCACTGCAGCCCCAAATTCCTCCCAAATGCTGTTCCCGGGGGGTCCCCTATGTCCCACGAGCAGCATTTCAGGAGGGACTTTGGGCTGGAGCAGGAGGGGAGAAATGGGGAAATGGGGCTCACAGGAGGAAATCCTTCTGCCCATGGAAATGCTCCACTGGATCCAAGTCAAACATAGGGTGATTTCTGATTAATGAACAGGAGTCTAGAGGTCACCTCAGGGCCTAACCAGAAGTTATATTTTCCCCTGGGTCCTTCCCTGGATCAGTCAATCCAAGCTGTATTACACGTTCTTTGCAGGGTGTTGAGGGAGAGGGGACCTTAGCTTCACATTGTTTTCCTAACCTGATACAGACCTGGACGACCACCACTTTCCTGGTCAGGGTGCCAATGGGGTACACTTAGTAGTCCCAATATGGCCAATAGTGCCCCATCCCCATGTTGGAAAGATGGCACAGGGTTGAGAAACGGTAGGGAAGATGGCTGTAGGGAAGATTCAGAGGAGGCTGAATCCCCCTGTTCTTGTGCACCATGGTTCAATCCTCATCGGTTCTGTGCATGCCCGGGATTAAATTCACAGAACAGAATTCGCAGTACATGTTTTGATCACGAGGGCACAGGGAAAATGTATAGTGAGGCCCTTAAACTAATTGGCTGTGGAGGCTATGGAACAAGTACCAGGGCTTCAGCCTGAAGTCTCCAATTACACTTCCGGGCATTGAAAACTCTCAGGAATAGAAAATTGTTTTCATAGTTTTGGAGTCAGAATAGGGATGCTGTTGGAAGAATGTGGGCTTTTTTGAACCGAATTTTAGGCTTGTTATTTTCAAGGAGCCAGTTTTTGAAGAGGAGCCAATTTTTTATGGCTTTGTGACACTGAAAACCCTTATCTTGTCTTTGTCCTTAGGTAACTTACTGTCCCTTTAAGTTTTGTGCTTGAGAGAACTAGCTGAGAGATATTGCAGAAGAAAAATAACTACCTTGCCATTCAGTAGATGTGTGTGTGTGTGTGTGGGGGGGGGTTACTTATCAGGCCAGTAGTGAATATTGCAGTCTGCTTACTAAAGCATTGACAATTCAGTTACTGGAGAAAGCTGAGTACAGTTAATCTGCGATGAAGCTACCTTAAACTAGTCTGTCTGTCAGCTCTTGTCTACACAGCGATTTTCCATTACTTATGCACCCCCGCGAGTGGGAGGTTGAGAGAACTGAACAAGGTAATGATGTGCTTAAATTTATACATGAGGCAGAGAGTGGAAGAGAGTAATGGCAGGGGATGCTTATTTGGAGGCCGTGGACTTTTCTGAATCACGGCACTTCTTGATTGTTTAGTTGCTTCCTTGAGTTTCAGCTGGCACTCAGAGTACAGGCTGACTGAACAAACTCTGAAGTAGACAGGGCTTCTCCTGAATAAGGGCCCTCTTTGACAGTGTTGGATGTCTGACAGGTCTGACAGAAAAGGCAAGTGAAGCCTCCAGCTTTGATGTTCTTCATAATACAGGCCATTGAGTTCAAAGCAGATGCTCTGTGACTTATCAGTTTAGGTACCTCATAACTGACTACAGCCAGCAGCAAGACCCTTGAAAAAAATAAATCCCTAGTTTCCTTCTCTGGATTTCTGGTGAGAAGGAATTAAGTCCCCATTGCTAGGCAAAATTGTTTCAGTGAATAACTGTTCCAGTCACCACTGTTGGCTAATGGTGCCTGACTTTACCATCCCATTAGCCTGTGTTATTTTTTTCCCCTGAGTGGCCAACATTAAATAGTGTTCTCTTTTGAGGGGGAAAAGTCCCTTTTGATTCTTTTCTTTTAAAAAAATGCAGCAGAACCCACTGTGGGTGGTTATTAGGGGCTTCAGTACTGAGTGTGTTTGAGGTCTAGGAGTACAAGTTGTTATTCCTTTTGATACATAGTGTTTTTCTCTGAAATAAAAATGAAGGTTGTTTTTTTTTAAAGGAACGGTTTAGAAGAAAAGGATTAACTAGAGGCAGTTAAAGAGAGGTTAAGGTAGCGCCCCGTGAACACTCATTATTTCCCCAAGATTATCCTAATGACCCACCTTTTCAGGAGTATTCTTTTGCTGTCTCAAGCTCTCCATTAATATCTGTACAGCATTTGGTGCTTTTGTAGAGAGAGAAATAATCAGCCTTATTGCAACGGAAGGGATTTTAATCAAGGAACATTAAGTCTCCCCCTCCCCTTGCTGTTCTGAGCATTCTTGTTGTGTTCTCTCTGAAGGCTAGGACTAGAGCTAGTATTTGGAGTCCAGGCAGACCGAGCCCGAGAGGATGGGCCCAGAAGTCTGTGCCAGGCAGAGATCTTGGGTGGGGGATTCTTGGAGTCTATATAATGTGCCTGTAGCATTCTCCTTTTCTCCTCCACTAAGCAATTGTGCACTAAATGAAAATGAAATGATGTTCCTGTAGCACAAAAAGAAATAGCTTCAAACGACTCGTCTCATAGTTTCTCTGCAGAGTAGATTTAAGGTTGCCAGCCTTCAGGTGATGGCTAGAGATCTCCCGCTATTACAATTGATCTACAGACAACAGAGATCAGCTCAACTGGAGAAAATGGCCACCAGAAGGTGGACTCTATGGCATTATCCACCTCCAAAATCTCCAGGTAGTTCTTAACCTAAGTAGATCGGTACCTGGGGCCTTGGGGAGATCTGGACTAGGGACCTGTGTGAACAGGGACAGTTGCAGGTTTTGGTAGGCTCTGGGCAGAGAGTGTCCAAGGTCCCCTTTCTCTCCACCATCAGGTCTCCTGCTTATGCCGTCCTTC